AAAAAAAAAAAAAAAAAAAAAAAAAAAAAAAAAAAAAAAAAAAAAAAAAAAAAAAAAAAAAAAAAAAAAAAAAAAAAAAAAAAAATAGATTAAGAAGGTACCTAACACTGCCATACAGAATTTAATTGAAAAAAAAAAAAAAATTCTAGAAGCTGAATAGCTTCACTATTAATTATTAAACAAATGAATGAACCAATCAGCACAAGATTCGGCATTTCGGTCAAAGCCATGCTTTTTTAATCAAGTATACTGTGAGGGGAAAAAAAAAAAAAAAACTTCGCCACTGCGTCGTAGCTGCATTTGCTGGCCAGGTATTTTTCCTCAATCCCGGATTACAGGACGGATTATCGAGACCTTAGAAATTGAACGGTGCTAATCTGCACTTTTTTTTCCTCTCTTGTTTTTTGATTACTCGCGAGATTTGATAAGCCAAGTTAGGTATATACGAAGTTACGTACCCTGGTTGTAGTGGCTGTCCGGTGCTGCATTGGCTTATTCATAAATCAAATTGTCCCGAGCGCTCTGTAATTCAATTATTTGCGTATTTCTTTTGTTTGTGATGGTGTTGTTTGATTGATACGCTGCGATGCACTGATTGCACCAGACGGTGGTGGTACGTTCGTTTAACGTGACGTAAAATCTATCTTTTTTTTTTCATTGTAAATTTATTATAGAACGCTGTTCAAACGCGTGTGGAAAAAAATTCTTACGATTAAATGTGCTATATTTTGGCTCTCATTTTAATTTTTTACCAACAAATTCGAAGCTGAAACGATTGAAAATCGTAAAGACGTACACTTTTAAAGTAGATGATTTTTTAAATCTTCGCAGTGAAATTGGCTTACAAAAATGTTTCCTCGTAAAAGTATTAGAGCAGTCTTTGTAAATGTTATATTTATTTGATATTCTTAGTAAATCGATAAAGTGACAAATTCAAAGAAAGAAAAAAAATGTTTCCGTCATCTTCCGCAGGAAATAATGCCAATTGCTTTTCTCTTTCATCAAATCTTGATTTTACAGTTTCTATTTTTATTTATTTATTTACGATCACTATGAGAAAATTTCACATTTTACAAAAAATGTATTAAATTTAATACGTATGTACGGTACTGCTTGTATTTTTATTTTTTCATTTGATAAAATATGCGAAAATAAATTAAAAGCTTTTTTTTTTACTTCAAGAAATTTTTTTAAGGTACAAAAAAGTTAATGTTCAACTTGAAAAATGCATTATTCTTTTAGTTTTTTCTTATAACTTGACGCTGTAACAATTTATAAAATTCGCCGATCATTATCGGTGGGTAGACATTAATTCGCTCAGGAAATTTTCTTCTCCACGCGACCTGACTGTATCACCCGATATTATGCTGCAACAACGAGAAAAAAAAAGAATGAAGACGTTTCGAGAAAATTTTCGCGTTGCTCTCGTAGGTTTATAACGTTAAAGCTTCATCCCTCAAGAGAGAAATAGTTAAAGATAATTAGTAGATGTACATACATTTTGACCAGTTGCATAACTTTCACACATTTTCTACTCGATATGATGTTACTAAAATTTTTTTATCATCCCGCACAGTTCACAATGTTATTACAAGCGAAATTAAAAAAAACTTTCCGTCTCGGTACGATGAAAAAAAAAAAAAAGGTCATTAACAATATTAGAGAGTTGCTGTTAAAACAGTCCGCACACGTATACACAAACCTGCAAACGTTTCTCTGTTAGCGATATCCTTGCGGGTGGGTGTGTGCAAGGGTAAACTTTGCGGCTGCGTCGCGCTGTTTGTAGGTCATTTATGAATGGCCCGATAAATTTCGTTTCGGAGCTGCAAAAATACGTTACCCAGAATTTTCCGTTTGATGTTTTTATTATAATTTTTTTTTTTCCTTTTTCGAGGGAAAAAGCGAAACGTGGAGATTAAAAATGTAAGTAAACACACCTATACAATGTCGTTATACTTGTTTGAGAAAACAAACCCGATTAAAATTTAATAAAACTTCATTTTATATCGGTATGATAATACAATCGCGAGTTTTACGTACGTAAACAAGGTTATATATAATTAATCAATCAACTTCATTTTCTTTGTAAAATACGAGTAAGAAAAAAAAAAAATTCAACAATTTAATCCCTCATTAACTTCAATTGACAATTAAAATTAAATTCCCAAATGAGACCGAGTGAAATTGATAATACCGACTAGTTTTTTAATTAGATCGACTCAAGCGAATGATGAATACTTGATGAGATGATTAGAGTTTATCCAGAAATTAAAAATGGAGCAAATCTATTGTTCCGCTTAATTCAATGCAAAGCTGTACCAATATTATCACCCACTCAAATATTGACAGAAAGATTTATTGTGCCTATGGGTTTACGCAAAGATATATACCTACTAGAAACAAAACGACAAACGCTATCGCATAAAAATGCTACTTTTTTGCTTTCATCCTTAACGCGCTCTCGTGCTTCGACTTGGCATCCCAATACCCACTGATTTACGGTGTTTTTTTAAATTTTTGCATCAAAAAAACGTTGGATGATTCGCAGGTATATGGTCCGTAGTGAAGTGAGGATCGATATCCCACTTAAAAATGGCCCAACTTTACGTTTTGGCAAGAGAGTTCACATCACTCAGAAAAAAAGTCGTACGGTCGCTCGATTCCTGCTGCAGTTTCGT